TCGGAGGTGCGGACCCCGGGGGAAGGGTTCCTTTGCCACCCAAACGGTGTTTAAAAAAAAAAAAAAAAAAAAAAAAAAAAAACACACCCAAAACCTATTTTACAGAGAATGTTTTTATTACATAATTTAGCAGAATCATTAAGAGATACACATACTGAGTCTATAATTGATCTACATTTTTTTGTTGTTATGTTTGTTTAGAACACAAAGAGTTGGGGAAGCACCGATCGACTGGCCATACATCAAAATTGCATCATTTTTTTTACTTAAACAGCTCTAATCTGTGATCGGTAAATTTGTGTCTGTAAACACATCAACTAGCAGTGTGTACTCTGATGCAGTTATCTTTGGTTCAAAATCAAGTTAAGGTTAGGGATATATTCTTCATGCACAAATTGCAATAATTTTGTACTGTCAACATTTGCTGTTTGAATTAAAACTACACCTATCAAAGAAGCTGCAAAACATTTTATTTTCTCTTTGATGTGTCTTAGTTTGCTGACATAAAAAAAAAATCTGAATTCATAAAAATGAGAATTAGCTCCTCATACCTCAGAGGAATCTGAATATTGGCCAGAAAAATCTAATTGGTGCATCCCTAAAAATGAATATTTTTTTCTCTAAATAGAGATAATAGATAAGAATTACAGAAAATATCAGTAGATTTTTTTTTTTACCACTAAACATACTATGCTTTTCATAATTTTCTCAGTTTAAGATGTGTTCTTTCTCCTTTCTGTGTCATGGTGCACCCAGACCAGGCCGCCCTGGGGAGATAGCCATATCTCAAAAACCGCCACTGGAAGTGAAAGAGCAATTTTTTTTTTTTTTTTTTTTTATTTTTCTTTTGTAACTAACTAACACACAAAGGTAGGCCTTGCTTATATGATTATGGTCGTCTCACAGCCTTTAAATAAATGTGCGTGTTCTCTTCATTATATGCCAATGCATCAGTGCAGCTATTATAGTTTAAAATAGCAATATAAATAATTTTTTGTAGCTAAACAAAGGCTATAATGCTGCCTTTTGAGTCACAGAAACAACTCTGTAGCATAAAGACAATGATGACAACCATTTCTGCGCACTCTTTAGACTTTTACATGCAGGTTGTTGGATGTTCTTGGTAAATCTTTCTCTATTTACATTTTTATTGCATATCCATATATCATAAAAAGAAGGGAACTCCGTCAGTGACTGTATTACAAATCTCTTATCGTTGTTGAAAGGACTTCATATGTGTATTTATATAGATTATATTGAGAAAAAAATCTATCCAATGACCAGTGTTGCTTTAGAATAGATATCTGAGGTGTTTACACTGCTTGTTTATCTTGCAATAACTTCTTTTTGTTTCCTTTTTGTTTGTTTTTCTTTGTGAATGAAAAAAAAAAGTTTATGGGGCCTTTTTTGCATGAAAGCTGCAATTTGTTGTACTTTGGGCAAAAACAACTGTGTTTATTAACTTTGGTCTTTATCGACAAAAAAAAAGAAGA